CTAATTCATCTTGTAATATCTTTATTCAAATTTAGTATTTTTTCACCTGAAAGATGTTAGGTGGTTTGGTTTATACAGCAAATAAAACTCAGTTGGTTAAAAAAAAAAAAAGAAAGAAAGAAAAAAGAAATACAGGACCTACATGATACTATAAATTGAATGGACTTGAAAGACATCTATAGAACTTTCCATTGTAAGACCACACAATAAACATTTTTCTCACTCCAAAATGGAACCTTCTTAAAGACGGACCATATGATACGACAAAAATCAAGCCTTTATAGATGCAAAGGCATTAAAACTACATCCGCCATCTTCTCTGACCATGACAAAATGAAACTCAACATTAATTTCAAGAAACACCCTCAAAAATACATAAACGCATGGAAACTAAACAACTAATTTCTGAATGACTTCTTAATTACCAAATAAATTAATTCTGAATTTAAAAATTTATGGAATCCAATGATAATGAGTACACGAGTTTCTAGAATCTATGGGGCACAGCAAAAGCAGTCATAAGAGGGAAACACATAGAAATTAGAATGCATAATAAAAAGATGGAAAGATGGCAAATAGACAACCTAATATCAAGCTTCAGGGAATTAGAAAACACAACAAAAATAAATAAATAAATAAAATAATGCCAGGCAAAAAGAAATAAAAAAGATTCAAACACAAATAAAAGAAATAGAAAATAAATGAACTATAAAGAAAATAAATGGGGAACCAGCAGTTAGTGTAATGGCTATGTCGCTGGACTCCCACGTAGTCGACTGCGGTTCGTGTCGCGGACCCGGTGGCTTAAAACTCACGCCGGGCGCGTGTGCGTGCGTGCCCAAGATCCCGAGAGGAGAATGGAGGAGAAGGGATTGCGGCATGACCATCCCCCCTCTCGCTTTCTGTCTCTATGTCTCTCTCTGTCTGTCTGGCGAGCGCATGCGCCCTACAGTGCAAATCTCTCCAAAAATAAAAAAATAAAATAAAATAAATGAAAGCAAAAGTTGGTTATTTGAAAAGATGAACAAGATCGACACATCATTAGCTAGACTGATTAAGAAGAAAGAAACAAGAGAAATCAAATATGTAATAAAACAGGCAACATTACAACACATACAATAGAAATAGAAAACATCACTAGAGGATGCTATGAGCAACTATATGCCCACAAACATGAGAACATGAAGGAGATGGACAAATTCCTGGATGCGCATAATCCACCCAGATCAAATCAGGAGGACACAGAAAACCTGAATAGACCCATAACAGGCCATGAGATCGAATCAGTAATAAATAACCTCCCGACAAAGAAAAGCCCAGGTCCAGATGATTTCACTTCTGAATTCGACAAAACTCTTAAAGAAGAATTGATGCAGGGAAAACATTTGATAAAATACAACATCCTATCATGGTTAAGACTCTCAGCTAGATTGGTATAGAAGGGTCATTCCTTAACCCAATAAAAGCCATATATTAAAAACCTATAGCTAACATTATATGGAATGGGGAAAAGTTGAAAGCCTTTCCACTAAAAACTGGTACTAAAACCTGCCCCTGCGCAGCCACGCGCGGGACGGCCAGGGTCTCCCGCCCCTGCGCAGCTGCGCGCTGTATGGCCGGCCCCCCCTCTGGGGGCCCCGCGCCGGGGGCTCACGCCCCTGCGCAGCCGCGTGCCAAATGGCCCGGCCTCCCTGGCCTCTCCGGCGCTGGATGTCCTGGAGGCCGAAAACAAGGTTGAAGAACTTGCAACTTGAGAAGATGATAGCTACCAGCCCTGCATTACCTCAGGGGAAAACAAGAACTACTCTGCCATTCTTAAGGAAGCCAGATACCCAAGGACAACTCACACTGCAGATCCCCACAACACCATTCCTGGTAACTACAAGATGACTGCTGTGCCGCATCAGCTGATAATCATCCCTGCGTACCAGAACTGCTTTCCTGAAACTGCATTCCCTGGAGACTCACCTACACTTGTGGATCTGCAGGAGACCCTCCCTTAATCCAACCCTGAGTGGAGTTTATGCTCCCTATTGCCAAAAACTTTATGAGCTGATGGTTGGAACTCGTGGCCTCTCTCCCTTTACTTGTATGTATCACTTTTTCAGTAACTCTTCTGGAAGACAACTGTATATA